GCTTCCATGATGCCTAATTTTGCAAAAATATTCAACAGAAGCACATTTTTCAGGGTTCGTACGGTCGTTAAAAGTCCTTAGATTTTTTGGAATCAATTTTTGGTCCTTAAAAGTCCTTAATTTTGGCCAAAATCAGCAGAAGGTCTTTAATTTTAATCATCTGAAATTTCTGTCTCTTTTTTCAATTGCCATTTTGAGTGTGAATTAGCATTTTGGGGGAATATTTTCGGCGATTCACTGGCATATATGGTTATGTTTTGAATGGGTTTATGGGTTATAATTTGTTTCTATTTCTAATATAATTGATGGGATACTCGAGTTTCTAAGCATGAAGTGAGATATAAGCATTTCGAAATTTATTTTTTCTAATAAAGAGTTCTTAAACAACTTTTCGCCTTTGGAGATGTGAATTCTTTTATTAAACGGTTCTAAATTTGGTGACTTATCAGCATTTTGGCGATTTTAAGATCAGTTTCTATAAAAAATTTTTAATTCCGAGGTCTGAGAATTTTTGGACGATTTTTTTTTAAACATCCTAACATTGATAAATTTCATTAAAATAATGGTAATATATTGAAATTATATTTAAAAAAATAATATTAAAATAAAGCATTTTAAATTTTCACTGTCATATTATCAAAAATTTCATTTTGGCAACTTATACAATATTTTGACTCTGAAAAATAAAGAAGGTATAATGCTATAAAGCACAATTTACGAAATGGCTCTTAGCAAAAGCAAAATTAGCTATGTAATTAGTTAAAAATATCTTCTTTTTAATTTGTTCATAGTAAAAGTTTTTCCCATGTAATTGTCTCGGAATATTCAAAATTCTCAGAATATGTATAAGTTTTCTCTATAAAATAAATTTTACCCTTTTTCCCTCCTTTTTTTCCCAAAACTATTTCTGGCTTTTTGCAGTTACTGAATTGGTAGGGGTAATTTTTCTTTAGTATTTTAGCCATTGCAGCTTGGAAAGTTTAGAAGGATTTGAAGGCAAGATTTGTAGACACGCGATTCTAGAAGATTCAAGGAATATGTGACAAAATTAAAAATGTCTCCATGGTATCAACACGTAATGGATGTATTTTACTGAAAGTTTGCGATGAATTTCTTACTTTTTGAAGAACGTCTGGAAGAACAATGAAAACATAATATTTGAATGTTTTACTCCTGATACTAGAATCATTTTCTGAACATGTTTACCTTCCCTTTATTTTCTCTACTTTTCACTAGACACAAGCATAGAAAGTATCAAAAATGCTTCTAATCTTGTCACATGGGCAAGCATTATAGAAAGGGATTTTTTTTATTAATAAAGAAATTGAAAACTTTTGCAATTTAAAAGATTCATCTAATATGTTTTAATGCATCATACACAGAGCTGGCACTAGGCATTTTCCCACCTGATGCAATCTCTGTGGAGCCTAAATTCTGCTTCCAATGCCTGCTCTAAATTCTAAAAGTTTTGCCATTTCCAGATTTTGTTGTTCGGTGTGTCACTAAATTCTAAAAATTCTGCCACAGTAGCTCTGTAACTGGCCTTTACCATATGTATTTCTTCTGAATGTTTATATTACTAAAGAAATAAAATTAGCCATTTTCTATGCATTTCATGTTTTTTAGAATAATGGAAATCTTTAATTAAATCCAAAAATTCTAAGATGAAAAGGAAACGTGTTGAAGAAAGAAAATAATAAAGACAAAGAAAATTATTCTTCCAAGAAAATGTGCAGTTATTATTATGAAAATTACACAATTCTTTATGATATTAGCCTTTACTATAATTTCCCATTTCTATTTCCTCATATGATAGAGTTACTGAGCCAGATTAAATTTAAATTAAATTGTATAATCTTTGACCACTAGTTCCACAGTTTTAGTTCGAATTTGGCTGTTCTTGTTTAATTACGTCACTGCGAGCTGTAAATGATTTTGTTAGCATTAGAACCTGCCTTTGTATTCTAAGTTCTTTTTATATAAGAGGCTTATTTAAACCTTTGTCTGATGTTTTAGTTATTTTCAGACATAGCGATAGTTTGCTTCACATCAGTTGGGTTTTCAACTTTTTAACTTTTACCAGATCAAGTAAACCCTCATAGGTACATTGTGGAGAGGTTGACAAGTTAGGAGATAAAGCAGTTAGGTTGATGCAGAAACTAGCGAGAGCATTGGTTTGCATTTTGAGACAAATCTCTAATTGTTAGAAAAGATGCTTAAAGAGAAGGAAATCGATATAAACTAACCAAAATGTTTGGGAAGGCTTCAAATTAAAATGCCGGATAAATATTTTGTTGAGTGTTGTTGTTACAAAACGTAAATGTTTTGTAGCTTTTAATGTGTAATTATCCTAATATCGTTTTAGAATCAGTGTTATAAATTACATGTATTTTAAACTGTGAAATTTGATTAGATTTTAATAGGGCTTTTTTAACAAATATTGTTAAAAAATAAAATTTAATTATGCCCATTTAAATTCATAATGACTAAGGTTATCTAATTACCTAATTTAATTATTTATAACTAACTGCTTACCCTTAAAAATTATCTCTACGTATTAAATCTCTACGTATTGCCTTTCATTAATACTCACTGAGGTCACAAGATAAAACACAAAAACGTAAAAATTGAAGTAAAACTTATTCTTTGAATTTAGTGAGACTTAAAATAATACAAAATTACTTATCATCTCCGGTTCTTTAATGGCTTATTGGAATCTTAAAGTATATTAACTGGGTTACAACCCCTGAAACTCTACACGAAGCTACGACACGGAACTGCATCAAACAGAGCCCGACTAACTTTCAACAGTTGCGAACCTACATCAGGACACCTGCCTACATCAGGCCTTTCAGGTTTGTTCTAATGAGCAGGTCTCTCTCTAGACAAGCAGCAGCAGTAACAACATTCAGTCTTTTGTTCTGAATCATGCTGATTATGATCTTACTTCTCATTTTAACCTATGCCATTTGACATAAAATCTACCTGCTATTTACTCAACCTCTAGACTGACCAAGTATGTGACAAAATGAGACATTTAAAAAAATCAACATAAAGCTAACTGTGGGTAAAACGTAAATGTCACTTATCTTCTTTCAAATATGTCAATCTGTTGTAAGTGTAAAATATTTAATGCTATTTGATAAATTGCATAAAGCTTATTTTATTCTCAAATTTTTTAATAATTATGTTAATTAATTCATGTTTAGTAATAATGCAGACTACTTAGAGATCTGTTTTATTTTTAGGATGGTATCACAAAAGTGAAATTCAGGCATAGATAATATTTTTAATTGAATTTATTCAGTACCTATTTGCTCATAGGTCCTTAATTTTTTCATTAATGATCCTTAAAAGTACTTAATTTTCGTGTGCAGAAATGTGTACGAACCCTGATTTTTATGTCAAACAACTCAGTTTTTTTCAAATATTACAGAAAGGGGATTTATCTTTATGCTTGGTGAATTATGGAATTAAATACAACTTTTGCAGCTATAATGCTATATATATAGATGATGTAAGAGGAATTTTAAAACAGATGTTCAGTACTTGTTAAACTACAATTGAATTATTTAGTATAAAGCAAAAAACCTAACGTAGGCACATCCACACATTTATGGAATTTAAATTAAATTAAAATTCTACAATCAAATTAAAAATTTGTTTTCTGTGTGATATATTCTGAAGCTTGGGTTAATGGAGAGTCCTACATTACAATCTTTGCTTTCAAAGTAAGATGTTTTTCCTGAAGCTCGCTTCCTCTGTGCAGTTTGAAAGCAAATAATACATCTTCTTCTAATTTTTTGTTTCTTCTCATTGAGAATTGGAGATGGAAAATACCTTCCCCAAAGGCAAAATGACATCAGCACAGCTGATACTTAAAATTCACATTCTCTTGACATGATCTTTTCTGTAATTTGTTCGATTACTTTTAATAAAAATTGAAGTAATGGTTTTTTGTATTATTTTTTACATTGTATAAAACAGGAGCATTATAGATCGTAATATTGAGGACCCCCAAAAGTAAAGTTTTACTATTTGAAAGACTTTCTGTAAGATGGATAATGAGAAGTGACTGCATAACTAATATCCATCCCTCCCATATTTTTATTGTACTGCAATATGCAGTCTGGTTTCTTAAAACTTTTTCTCTTTTTGTAATTTTATTTGCCAGAATTTTTTACTTGTCCATGCATTGTAATTAAAAGTAAAACTTTGTTCTTTTTATCTTTAAATGCAACCAGATACATATTTTTACTATACTTCACCTCTACGTTGTTTTTGCCTCCTCAATTTTGATGGGACCTTTCCTTGTTTTCATGATTGTGCCACAAACATTTCTTTTACATCAGATAAATCTAATGCAAGTGATGGTGAAGTGAAAAATCTATCCAGATAAAAGCTGTAGCCATTTCCCAAAAGATTACTTATGAGGGTTTTTCACAACATTTTCATCACATAGGCCACCTCTTGCTATAAGATTGGTATGTTTGCCTGTATATATTCCAAACATTAACTTGCATCAGATTCAGTTAATTAATATATTTTGCTCCATATCAGGATTGTTTTGATGGGACGTAATGTCTAAAACCTAGCCTTCCTATCCACATAAACAAAGATTCTTCAACAGGCACATTTTTTTTCGTGGTTTATACACATTTTAAAATTTTTGTGCAAGTGGCTCAATAATTAGTTTCAGTTTGTCAACTTTTTAGCATTAATCCCTTGTGTAAATTAGATATTGCAATATCTTCAAAAATCTATCTCACAACATTTTATTAAAATATAGAGTAGCAATTACCTGATTTGTCGTAAAGTACATTTTTAGATTCCTCCTTTTTTTGTATCCATAAGCATATTTAGTGGTGTAAAGATTTAAAAAAAGTGAATCAGAGGCCGATGATATTAAGTAGAGGTTTAATTAAAAGATGGAATTTCACGCCCACATGGCACAGCCCGTTTCTACATATCACACGAGAAAAACTACAACTGTTGCCAGATCAACCTAAGCAAAAGTATAAAACAGTTACAGTTAAAATACATGACATTAAAACAAGAACGGGGAGTACGTGTGATTATTCTCAACACCCTCCCTTAATCACATATTATTTTACATTTATCTCTTAAATAACACAATCTTGGTTTAGGCAAGCATTTTGTAAACAAATCAGCTAACTGATTTTCACTAGAAACATATACGAGATTTATATCGTACAATTTTACAATATCCCTAATATACTTTAATTTAATGTTTTATTTAAGTTCCAAATGTTTTAGTCTTTAGTTTAGCACAATTACTTTCATTTCATTTAATATTGCTTTAATTACAGACTGATTATCCTCATAAACTGAAACTTTAATATTGTCGACTCCTAAAATTTCTTTAGATACATTATAAAATACAGTTAGGTCTTGAATAGGCTTTTGCTAAAGCCAAAATTTCTGCCTCAGTAGAGGACAGAGCAATAGATGTTTGCTTTTAACAGACCAAGTTACAGGACAATCATTTAAGAAAATAATATACCCTGAAATAGATTTTCTATCATTTGTATCTGATCCCCAATCAGCACCAACATAAACATTTAACATAATACCAACACTATTAGATTTACAAAATAATAATTTCAATTCAGATGTCCCTTTTAAATATCGAAGAATTTGCTTCAGACCAGCCCAAGCACTGTTAGTGGGTTGTTCTTGTATCTGACTCAGACAGTTCACAGAAAACAGAATATCAGGACGAGTTGTCATAGACAGATACAGCAAAGCACCTACAAGTTCACGATAAGGGCCATGAAATCTTTCACCATTCACAAAATTTGATGAAGTTGACTTAGGCACTAGAGGAGTATCAGATGGCTTACAATCTAACATTCTAAATCTATTTAACAATTTTTCAACATAAGATTTTTGGCCTAAAGTAAGTTTGTTCTGTGAATATTCAAAACTTATTCCAAGAAATTCATTTGCAACTTCAGCCTTGGACATCTCAAATTCATTTCTAAGTAATTCAATCACAATTTTTACCTCTGAATCATTAGAACCAGCAATTAGCAAGTCATCCACATACAGCACAATAAATATTTCACTCTGTTTAGTTCTTCTTACAAAAGTACATGCTTCGCACAGTTTGAAGTTGTTGAAAGAAGTTTAACAGAATTAATTATAAAATCAGTAAATCTCTTGAAACCACTGCCTCGGTGCTTGCTTAAGTCCATAAAGACTCTTAAGAAGCTTGCACACACGACCACTGTTGTCACTGTAGCCCATTGGTTGTTCCATGTAGATTGTTTCTTGGAGATCACCATTCAGAAATGCAGTCTTTACATCTAATGCATAGATTTCAAGATTCTTTTGAACAATGATAGCCAGCACAAGTCGAAGTGATGATGTACTAATTTACAGGAGCATAGGTCTCAAAGTAATCAATACCTGGCTTCTGTTCAAAGCCACGAGCAACCAGTCTAGCTTTGTAAACATTGTTTCGTTTGATGCGCAACACCCATTTACAGGATATTGGCTTTTCATCCTTTGGCAAGTTGACTAACTTCCCACACTTTATTTTTATTAAGAGAAGCTATTTCCTCATCCATGGCTTTCCTCCATAGGACTTGCTCTTCTGTTTGGCAATGATGTTATATCCTCATATGTTACTGTATCAACAGTTGCCACATTAGCTTCATACACAAAGTAATCATTCAACTTTACAGGTAATTTTATATTTCTTCTTTTGCCTAGTAATTTCTTCATGACTTTCTTCAAGATTTCTGGATTCTACATCACTTGAATCACATACTTACTTCATCTTTAGCAGGATCTTTACTTTCTATGGGAAAAATCATCTTGAACTGAGATACATTTCTTTTTCTCTTCATTGAACAATACATTTCGAGAAACCACAACATGATTTGTGTGACTGGGTCCAGTAAACGATAAACCCATGGTAGAGTATCCAATAAAAATCACGTCTTTTTTTTTATTTTGGATCCAATTTCTTTCTTAAGTTATCAGGAACTCTCATGTATGCATTAAATCCAAACACCTTAATAATATTCAAATCAGGCGGCTTCCCATATTTGAGCTTATAAGGTACATTTTCAACAGTCTGATTTGGAATTCTATTCTTAAGATATGCAGCTGTCTGTAGCCCCAGAAGGATTTAGAAAGCTTTGCTTCACACATTAGAGCACGGGCCTTCTCTAAAAGATATCTGTTGGCTCTCTCAGCCACACCATTTAAAGGAGGTGAATATGGAGAAGCAGGATCTATCATAACACCATTTTTTTTGCAATAACGAGCTAGTTCACCAGACACGTATTCCTTGGCATTATCACACCGAATTTTGTAGACATCAGAATTCTGCTTTAGGAACAATTTAAACACTTCATTTATGTCACTTTTGCTTTAAGAGATGCACTTCAGTAAATCTAGAAAAAATCGTCTATGATTGTAGCAAAATACTTTTCACCTTCCCTAGTGGGTGGATCAATGGGACCACATATGTCAGTGTGTACCATTCTCATCGGCACATGCTCTCTGCTTCTAGGACCTTTGTTCATAGGAGTGTTGGAATGTTTTGCTAATATGCACTCTTCACAAAAGCTTGAAGGTGACTCAGATACTGGCAAACCCATTTCTTTTAATATTTTATCAGATGAGTGCCCCATGCGCCTGTGCCATAATTCTGCACTATGATTTGCAATGTATGTTGAAGCTTTAACAGGTTCAAATTGACTCACATACTGTCCTTTCTCATTGAGTTTAGCAAACTTAAATTTTTCATTCCTCTTTTCAATAACAGCTACATCATTCTTAAAAATTACACTGTAACCTGCTTTTTGAATATTCTTCACAGATATTAATTGACCGTTCAACTCAGGCACATATAACACATCTTTAAGTAATATTTCTCTTCCATTTAATGTTCCAGGTACTGTACCAATACCTTCTACCTTTAAAACATCATTTTTCGAAGCACACATGCAACAAGTTCCAGAAAAAGGTTTAATTTCTTCAAACCACTTCACCTTTATTACACATGTGTGTAGATGCTCCAGAATCCAGAATGAAATTTCCAATAGGCTCACCAAACCATGAATGTTACTGCAGCCGATTCTCTGTAATCTTGATTTATGCTTAAATCTGCAATCCTTCTTGTAATGCCCTGGGCGTCCACATCCAAAACAAACTAATTTTCTCTTGCAAAGCTTGGGCAATATGACCTTTACTTTTACATTTGTGGCAGATGATATCACGCTTATCAGCGCTAAAAGCTACGTTATTACTTGAGCCAGAAACACGAGAATCGTAAGAATTTCTCTGACCTTGCAATTCTTCAGCATTCAAGAGTCTTTGCATAACAAAGTCCAGCGTAAGCATTTCATTTGGCTGGTTCTCAATCGTTGATTTAATAATGTCGTACTCAGCAGGTAGCGACATCAACAAATAAATAATCACATCCATATCTTTGACTTCAGCACCCGACAGTTGCACGTTCAGTTACGATCGCCAACAGTTCCGTTAATATGTGACTGCATACTGCAATCTCGGCGTTTCTTCAGTGTCGATAATTTCTTTCGTACTAATATTTGACTAACTGCACTCACCTTATGGTATTTTCTTTCTATTGCAATCTTGCTCGGGGTTAATTGTATAATAAATTGACTAACTGCACTCACCTTATGGTATTTTTCTTTAAATGCTCCAAATTTCACATGCAGAAAAAATTCACTCGATATGGTCGCCAATATGGCATCATCTAGAAGGATTAGCAGCAATGCGTAAGCCTTTTTTGCATCTTTGATTTCAGCAACTTTCGTTTCATCCGCTTCAACGTCTAAATATTTATCAAGATCTTTGGCTGCAAACACAGCTTCTACACGGCGCTTAATGTGTTCTCATCACGTGCTACCATTTCAAATTTCACTTAACGCGCGATTCCGTTCCAAACAAATAAGTTCCACAAAACAAATATAAATGCTTCGCCTCTAGCGTGTTCAATATCAGAACCACGCTCTGCTGTAAAGATTTAAAAAAAGTGAATCAGAGGCCGATGATAATTAAGTAGAGGTTTTATTGAAAGATGGAATTTCACGCCCACATGGCATCACACGAGAACAACTACAACTGTTGCCAGATCAACCTAAGCAAAAGTATAAAACAGTTACAGTTAAAATACATGACATTAAGACAAGAACGGGGAGTACGTGTGATTATTCTCAACAAGTGCTAAACAAATGTTCATTTTATCGTGTGACACTAGACTGAAATGTGAAATGCCAGGAGAATCTTGAAACAACCGACTGAGGTTTGGATCTCGTAGCAGGCCAAAATCTGCAAAATTATTTGTTTGCTTCATAATTAAATTTATCAGTCGAAAAATAGGCAGAAAAAATTTTCTTTATCACATTCACCATCTATTGCATTGTAATTAATACCAAGTGTACCAATGAAAGCATGTGGCTGTAAATCTTTTAGTGTATGACATCATTTGTCATTTGCAGATGGAGCAGATGTGGAGTTCTGAATCCTATAAAGCAGTGTCTCTCAACCACCAGTCTGTGGACTGGTACTAATCAACAGACCTGCACACAAGAAATATTTGCCAGTCTGCGAAATATCCAGCTATCTGTTCGAAATCCAAAGTGTTATCGGCCAACAATCGATTACAACAGCATCTACATTCCAATAACAATAGTTTACTAGTTTCGTATTTATTTATGTGGAAAAATTGTGCCAATGGGTCGAATTATTAAACTTACTAGTCCGCGAGAATGTACCGAAGTATTTTACCGGTCCTTGAAGTAAATCCAGCTGAGAAACACTGCTATAAAGTGCCTGTATCAGAATCAGGCAATTCACTGCTTAAGCCACTGACATCACTGCTACTCAAATCTTCTTGTTATAAAGCTGTTTACTCAACTTCGTATAAATACTACTTTTGTTTTGACATCTTAATGGTGGAGGGGGGGAGGGGAAATGCTAAAAAACTTGCATTCACAAAAAAAAAAAAAAAAAAAAAAAAAAAAAAAAAAAAAACCCCTGCTCTACCTACAATAAGAAATTAAAAACTGCACTAACGTGAGATACTCTTCCCTCTGAAAGCCTTTTGAAAGAAACATAAATGAAAATGCACATGCATTAAGACCCAGCATGCTTTGTTTACATTACTGAATCCCACTATCTATCTTTCAGAATCAAATGAAACAGCCCAAGTCAACATTCAGGATTCATAATTACCATTTATCTTGGTACCATGGACATGGGGCAGCATTAGAATTAAAAATATCTATGTTTTGTCCCATTTGATTGTCATGTATAGGTACTTTTCTGTTTGGCCGGCGCAAATCTCGCCAAGTAGACTTTATTGACAACAACACACAGTACACACATAAAAAATGTTAACAAATGTTAGTTCTAAGAAATTTTTATTTGGAAGGCATAAACATTTTAATATCGTTTCAAATTTTGTAAAAAGACAATAAATAAAGACTATAAATTTGTAAAAAGACATTTAATTTAAGAATTTACTGTGCTTTCATGGTGCAACATCTTGATTCGCTGTGTCATATCACGTGACCCCTAGTGATCTCATCTCACATAAACTACGCTACAAAAATCGAATTATCTGAATAATTATCTACATTAATTTCAAGTTAAATCTTAATTTGGAATACAAGTTTAAAAGCAATAATTATTTCCTATTCGTACGAATAGCTTACTCAGAAATTATGTAAAGCTGCAGTGCTTTACTTCACTAGTGCATTCTCATTAGAATGGATGAATTTAACCCTTGACTTTGCCTTTTCTATATTTTCGCCTTCGGATGAGCAGCGCGATTACATCCTTATTGACTTAACTACCTCGAATGTTCTTAGGGCATTAAATTAAACTATCTGGTAAAAATTCTATGTAATTATATGCCAGTATTGAAAGAAACAATAAATCTGGTAAGAAATGGCTGTGACTGGTTTTGAAATGAGGCATAA